GAGTCTAACAGTTTGACTCCAAGGATTATTATGAGTTTAGAGTCTATAAATATGTATGGACGTTTWACACAAAGGSAATGAATCATATTGAGTTTTCTTCAGCTTATGCTAGCTATGGTGAGTGATTCTCATGCCCTAGAGTGATTCTAAGCACCCTGTGAGTGATTCCAGGTATTTTCTCTCTTCTTTCCCTCCCTATTTTCTCTCTTATTCCTCCAAGAAGCCATTACAGCCATGTACAGCCACAAAATTCTGACCAAGAAGACCATCCAACATTCTCTAAGGACTAGAACTGAGCTGGTCCTACATCACACCATCATCAACAAATGTGTTCTACCACAAAATAATTGGGATGGATCAGCACTTACTCTTTTGTACCTTCACATCCCATCATGGCACTATTTTATTTATAACATAATCTATCATTCAGATAACTTATCATCTTTAAGATCACATTATTTCATGGCTATTTAAAGCCTATGGATTTTGTATTTCTTAGAATATTTTTGAGATCCCTAGGCTTAGGCCTCATAATCTATCAGTTCATGCTATTACATCATTGGTGAAAATTCTTAGCATCTGGGAATTGTGTTTTTCAGATTACTTTTAAGTTCCATTGGCTTAAACCTCATTTATGTCTGTGACATCAGAAGGAATAGAAGCCTGGTCGCTAAAACACTATAATATTCATAGGTATTTTGGTCATTATAATTGTTATAAACTTATGATATATATTTAGTAAGTGGTTTCCTTTTTTCTCATAAACAAATTACTGGTCAAAGAGAGAAAAGGAAGAAACTTTCTTGTTCAATGAAGGCCTGTGGAAGATGTGATCTTAAAATGTAAGAGTTTTTGAAATGGCAAAACTTTGATGCAACATCTTTGGAAGTCATGTTCCATAAGAAAAGAATGAGTGTCTTCAAATGTTTTACTAGAGTTCAACTCTTGATACCGTGACAAGACAAACAATTTTCAAAGCTCTAATGAAGCAATCTATTAATTGCTAAGATACAAATCAAACTAAAATGAAAGAAAAAATTAAATAGGATAGGAGCTCTACCTTGAGATCAAAAGCAGAAAGAAGAGGAAGGAGACAAAAGTGCAAAGGAAGTTTTGGGATGAGGGTAGAAGTAAGTGGGGAGGAAAAACTTCTTCGTGGAAGTAAGTGAATCAGGGGAGGAAAAGCGAAGGAAGTTTCTAAAATCTTGCCTGGTTCAATCGGTGGAGACCTTGTATTCAATCCCAAAGTTGCAGCAGTGGGCGGTGAGAAAGTGGAAGGTAGCTTTCAGGGTGAGGGTGAGGAGGTTGCAGGGACGAAACTACCTATTCAGTTTCCCTTCCGAGAAGGAGGCGATCAGGGTCTGGACGATAGGGGCGAGAAATATCGAAGGATCCTTGATGCACTTGTTCCCTTGGGAGGTGTATTCTGAGGGACTGGATAAACGTCTCAAAGATGGTGACGAGTATTGGGTGAAGATCTTCGGGCTTCCGCTGCAGCTCTGGAGTGAGGCGGTGGTCAATAAAATAGGGGAATTGTGCGGTCGTTTTGTGAAGGTGGATAACTCACAGTAGGCGAAAGAAACAGTAGAGTGGATAAGGATCAAGGTAAAGTGGATGGGGTTTCCCCCGGCAACAGTGACTATCGTTGAAGGAAACGATCTAGTGGTAGTTTCTTTGTGGCTGGAACTTCTTCCAGAAAGAGGTAGAAAAACAGAAGATATAAGGCAAGTGGTGGTAGCAGAGGGTCACTGGATAAACTTGGCACTCTCTGGTACTAGTTTTGAAGAAGTAAGGGTGAAGGTGAAAGGGAAAACAATCTAAGAAAACGAAGGGGGAGGGTTTGCTGATGCCAGAGAAGATATTTGATCTGATTATAAATGGATCTAATTTTCATCACCTTAGTTGGATTGGTTTTGAATTTGAATGTTGATAAGGTGATACAGTTTGCAGCCGTATCCTTGTTTTTCATTTTTCATTTCAATAGATTAGAATATTACTTATAAAAAGRCAATACTATGGAATAGGTAAAAAGGAATTTAAATAAAAGGAAATTTCAACCAAGGCACTACATCAATTTTATCAGAATGTAATTACCTATGAGTACATAAACAAGATCATATTTCATGGATAATGTACAAATATCAAAGAATATGAGTAAAATATGAATATAACAATCAGAGTGATGGATAATAAAATCCTGGTTCTTTGACAAGAGCAATGTCTAGTAAAAAACAGAACATGGATAAAACTTATAACAATAGAAGATGACATCTAAGAATATTTTCGATTGAACTATATTTAAGTAGAAGAAGGAATCATTTTGAAACATTTTCAATCATATAAAAGTGTTATTCTGTGATGAACCAGTCACATACAGAAAGGATAGTTCCAAGCTGAAATGATTAAGACAACGCCTAATGGTTCTGATACAATTTTTGCAGATGATGGAAAAGTTATTATTGAAGTTTTTGCCTGCAAAAGTGCCATTTTTTTTTGCATCAGATAAATATTACATGGTACAAAAAAAATACTAATAAATAACATGGCCAACAAATGTTCTCAACTAAGATAGTGGTTCTGATAATTGTTTACCTTTTGTGGCTTCATCCAGTGTTTTAATTTCGTCAGTGAATGCTTGCATGCAGCTTTTACCAAAGAAATCTGTATTAAGACCAAGAAATATCAAAACAGATAGAATAATGCACAAAGTAATGCGGATAACTTGAGAGAGATGAAGAAAAGAGCATGTATTTTATTCAGGAAACCAGTCACACTTGAACTATCCAGTCTAACTAGTATAAATCATTCACTTGTTAGAATTACCACATAACCTGACTTTATTATATCCCAGAAGACATGCATTGATAACTTCATAAAGAATTAAACCAATTTCTCTATATTGAAATAACAAGAATGTTAACATCTCCAACTGGTTCAGGAACCTCAACTTACAGATTAAGATTTTAGGTTGAACAGTTCCTTGAGATGGTATCAGAGCCTATTTGACCAAGTGGTCTAGTGTTCAATCCCTATTGGCCCCCATTGTAATTGATTAATTTTCAGCACAACTGCACAAGGTAAGGGTGGGCATGTGCTTGTCTACACTTCAAGCCCAATGGGCTTTCACTTGACGGGGTGTGTTAGAGAACAAAAAATTTATTCAGGGACCTCACCTAACAGCTTAAACTTTTAGGTTGAACAGTTATATGAACAAAAGAGCAGATGTTGGCATGCATAGATCCTAATCCTATAAAAGAAGTCGTAAACATCTGTGAAAAGTCTAAAAGCATGAGGGTATAGTTAGGATATTCTTGTAATAATACATTCTACTAGTTTGTGTAATCAAGACAGAGAACTATAGAGCAAACTAGACCAACCACGTACCTGATTTCAATTCATATGTCTTCAACCATGAAGATTGTATGATTCTTAATCTTCAGTCAAGGAACTATAACAAAATAAAAGTTTCCTCCCTCTACTTTTGAAAAAAGCCATAATCATATTAATTATGTACAGAAGGTCAAGGAAACCAGAAATCCTATATAATAAATTTACATGATCTTTTCTCTATTAGACTATGATACATGTACAAAGGTATACAGCCCAGTGAAACCAATATATATGGGGGAGTTAGAGATAATATCAAACTGGAAGAGTGGAAATGCAGTGAAATTAGGGCCTAATTGGTTAAAATGTGAAGATGGTTTTGAACAACATGTTATCTGACATCAAAAAGTCTGGAACTGAATCAAGTTATGTTGACATGTCCGCCAATGTTGACACACCAGTCAAAAGCCAAAGATTACAATAGAGAAAAGCTAACCTTAGTCATATCAAAAACATGGTTCAAAACTGATTTTGCCCACTGATGGACTAACTACAAACCTTTTTCTCATCATAGAGGATTACAGAAAAGTTCTGCCCATCTTAGCAAATAAGAAAACTCTATTAATGCCTCTTATTTTCGATGATATCATCCAAAAGTTGCACAACAGAAGCACTGGCGTCTCCTAGTTATGATAAAATCATAAAATTAAATTAAGCACTCTGGGCAATCAAGAGAGTACCAGCTTTGACTCAAACAAACTACAAGGAAGTGAAATGTCCTGACTACAAATTGTTCATCAAATAATTAATGCCAAGCCAAAGAACCAAAAAAAAAAAAAAACAGTTTGAAAGCCTTATCCATTGAATCTTCACCACGAATCAATCCCAGAATCAACAAATAAATCAAATAAAAGCATAGCCAAACTCCGAATAGACAAGCACAAATTCTTGAATTAAATTTCTCTAGTTTATTCTATTTGAATCCATCTGCTTTTGCTCTGCCAAACACAAGCATCAAAGTCAGTTTCACTTGCAATTTTATGTCTTCCTATTATATTACCTCATGCTTTTCCAGTTCCCCAAAAAGCAAACAACTAGCTTTCCTTTACTTAAATCCAATCAATTTCTACCAAAACCCCATAACACAAGCTTCAATTCTCAATGCCAGAAAACTCTTTTGTTCCAGTTTTAACCTTAAAAACAATCCTTATATTAGTCCTCTCACTCCCCTGTAACAATTTCGCCCACTTAGTTATCAAAAGAGAATGCATGGGAACAGAGAAAAGAAAAAAGAAGAGCCCTGCATTGATGAATCAGAAAGCAGAAGAAACGAACCTCGTTGACAAAAGCTTCGAATTTGGGCTTGGCGAGGTCGAGACGAAGAGCTTCAACGATGGCCTTCTCGTTTTCGTCGACCATCCTGAGCACATTCTTAAGCTGTTGAACTCTCCATCCATAGCTCTTGGTCTTGCCCGAAGCGAAGCTCACTCTGAGCTCCTTCAACAGAGCAGCAGCTCTATCACCATCGAACTTACCCTTCCTCATCTCCACCGCCATGAACAACAGAAATGCAGTTACCAGGATAAAGGATTCTTAGATTCCTCTACGTGAAGGAAGAGACCATGAATGAGCAGAGGAAGAGAGGAAGCAACCCATCCTCTGCTTTTGTAGTTCAGTGGAGCGACGTGTACCTCCCCGCCGAGTTCACTTTTGCTACAACGTGGCCTTTGGCCCAACGCTAGAACAGCGAATCATGGCCTTTCGATGTGCAAAAAGTTGAATCCCAGTTGAGCAACATGACCCTTTCTCATGGGGCCACAGCATAGCAGTGCATCAAAGGTCGTGATTTGTGATTTCATTATTGTTGCATTGCCTGCACTGGGATTTAATTTGTGTACCCCCGGTCGGTAGAATGCATGCAAGGTACCTAATAAGTCGGAAAACGACCCCCCACGATACGTGTTTGCTGCGACCACAGCCGCAGGCGGCAGGACAATGGGGACACCCCACTCCACAATTAAAATTTGGGTAAATTATAAAGACCCTCCGGGTCTATGACAAAGACCCCTGTATTTTGTTTTGCAATAAAGACTCCCCTCTAATATCACCGTGAGACAGACCCCCTTTACCATTGAATTCATTAATCTTGGTGGCGAGTCCCCTCCAACTGATTAGCACCCACATCAAAAACAGCGAGGAATGAGAGATTGTATAAGTTGCTAGGAACCATACCAGATAGTTTATTTCCACCTAATCCAAGAGTTGTCAACTTTGTTAAGCGGTCTAGATTAGGAATGCTTCCCTCCAACATATTGTATGCTGCAGAGAAACGGATAAGGGATGAAAGATTCCCAAAAGAATGTGGTCTCTCTCTTGCCAGGTTGTTACCATGTATTGTGAGGGCTTCTAGCTTCAACAGAGAGCCGAGTTCTGCTGGAATTTTGCCTGTTAGTCTATTTCCAGCTAAAACAATGTCTGTGAGGTTGGAACAGTGAGACAGATTGGCAGGAATCTCCCCTTCCAATAAATTATTGCAGAAATTTATTACCTATAGCTTGAGTAAACGACCGATTTGTCGAGGGATTTCACCATGGAAACTATTGTTTAGCAGCCATAACCCCCCAAGCAAGCTAAGGTTTCCTATTTCGCGGTATAGTTCCGACCAATCCCTTTGCAGTGGTGGTGAGAATTATTCCACGACTACATGACCCCTAGGCTAGCAAGGCCAGCAGGTCTGTTTCATTTCCACCGAGACCGGTGTCGGTACCGGCAACGGCAAAGGTGGCTGTGGTGACATCTCTGGGATGCAATACCGTATTCATGCACAGACATGAGAGAAGAACAACTACATGGACTGTAAATGACGAATGCATCACAGACACAGAGAGCACGTCTAAGAGCGGCTGCCCCATCGCAGGTTTCTTAATGGGGTTGAGGATTTCTTTCTTTTCAAAGTCTCGATGGGTCTGGATTTAAGCTACGGAGAGAGGGATTTATCAGGAAAAAAAAAATTGTTAAAAACCATAATCTCGTTGCCGTGACTGGTGACGAAGCTACTGCAACTGAATTCATGTCTGGAGAAGAATGCAAAGAAAAGAAGAACCTTCTTCTGCATTGTCATTTTATAATCTCTTATGAAGTACTCATGAAAGCAACTTGAGGATTCTGTTCAGTTAACTTGCTTGGTACGGATAGTTTTGTGACCAAGGTGTTTAACAGAGGAAGTCGGGAAGAAGAAAGGGGAAGAGAGAAAGGGGAAGGGGAAGGGGAAGGGGAAAAAGAGAGATCGGGGGAGGGAGAGAGATGAGGAGTTTGGAAGTCCGTCGCCAAGATCTACAGCAGCTGTTGTTTATGTTTCGTGAGGTCAGGAAAGATGAAAGGCTAATGGAAGTGGGTTTTTGTCTAAAGGTCATAATACAAGGGGTTCTTTGTCGCAAAACAAAGTATAGAGAGTTTTTGTCACAAATCTCATAATACAGGGGGGTCTTTGTAATTTATCCTTAAAACATTATGTCAATTGCTAGTTTGGTTTCATTAAATCAATGTTTTAAAAAATGACCTGGAAACAGAACCCTTTTAGCCACCGGTTTTTGAGTCAATAATCCGATCGTCCAGTTCGAATGGATGGCCTGTTCTAACAACAAAATTAAAAATAATTAAAAAAGAATGGTCAAAACCGTTGAACGGATCAACGGTTTGACCACCTGAATCAACGATTTATTGATTTTTTCAATGATTTTTTATCAAATTCTGAATTTTAAATAAAATAAAACCGGTTACCTATACGGTTCCTAGGCCGAATGATCCAACCGTCCGGATCAACGACGGTTTGGAAACGTTGCATTAAATAATATTTCGTTTTCCTGTGACTGTGGTCACAGGACAACACGGGGACCTTAAAAAAAAACTTAAACACGTGTAGACATGTTCATGTGCAAAAATTTCCTATATTTTATTTTTTTAAAAAGAAAAAGATAAATAGTTAAAATAAGGAATGCCAATACAGCCTAAAATGTTAGATAAGCTAGATGACATTTTGAATTTAATAAATCTTTTTACTCAATTGCTGTTACAGTTGCAGCTCATACTGTTGCTCAAAGGGCTATATGTGATAGAATTCCGTGGTTTTCACGGCCAAATTGGTTGGACCTTGGCTCTTGTATTTTCTTTAGTTAGTGTTAAAGCTTTTGTTTCATCTTTAAAACACACACGCAATCAAATTCAATTTCCTTCTTATAAGAAAATGGAAGTCTCGTTCACTTATCGGTACCTCAGGAATGTGTTTACCTAGGCAACTGATTTACAAATAAGAATCATCCGAATAAACTGTGGTGGCGGTGTTTGGTTACATTTCAACTTATTTGCATAGTTTTCAAAACTGGACCAGATTGTATGGTTGGACCGGAAAAATTGGGAATTAGTTAGGTGATCGGTTCCATTTTTCCTAAAAATCAGATTTTCTTTTAAAATTATTGATTTTGGTCAGTGAATCGTTGAACCGGGTGGTTAATCGCTCGAACCATTTAAATAATTTTGACCATTTTCTATTATTTTGAATTTTTTTCTTTTTTTTCTATTTTTTGTCAGAATAGGCTGAACGTTTGGTTCAAACGGTCAGACCGTTTGACCCAGTAACCAAACCCCTGACCAATTCGATTTTAAAAACCTTGCTTATTTGAATAAAGGAAGGAGATTTTACCCTTTTATGAAGAGTGGGTAAGCAATTGACCCACCCCACCCTTAACCTACTCTCTAGAAATAATTATTTTGTGAAACCCATTATACTGATTCACGAACGTGAAAATTTTGATTAATTATCTAATTTAACTAATTTACCTTATACAAAATATCAACAAAGCCTGAATATAATCACTACCCAGGGTAAATTATTTAGCATGTGAATATAACCTACTCTCACGGCTCTGATGCTAAAAACTAAGACGATGAAAAAAAAAAAAAAAAAACTCCCCTCCACTATGTCATATCCAAGTGTGACTAAATATTTTGAAAATCCATATTTACCCCTTAAGTTACTTTTTAACTGTTTGAAGGATAGCAACGGGATGGGTTCAACAAGGGTTTTGTACATTCTGAAATCCTTCCCACCCCATGAACCTCCCAACTTTTACACTATCCAAAACCTGCAGGCTTTTGCAGCTCTGCATTGGAAATATTTTTTCACGAATAAAAATATGTAAGTTTAGATCTGATAACCACAACACATTGTTGGTCACATTCATCCAACTACATATTGAGAATATCGATGAGGTAAAGTAAAATGGATGGTGATGAAGGAAGATTTGGCCCGACCTCGTAATCACTCAACATGTGGCAAAGGCAAACAGCTCGGCACAACAGTGCGCCCAGGGCGCAAGCACCAAAGGGAGGAAACYAGCAGTCCGAACTCCCCACAAGGAGCCCGAACTCCCCACCAGCAATCCAAACAAGGAGCCCGAAC